TGCGCTGCATTGCATGGGTAAATAAAACAATTTTAATTATAATTCTAGTAAAAATAGCAAATGAAATACAAAATCTGTAACATTGTCCCCTTTCCAAGGACTGCACGTCCCGGGCAGTACAATGCCTGGACCTGGACAGGAAGCCAAACTTACAACTAAGGCATCAATGCAATAATAAACTTTACATTACAATAACAAACAACATAAACAATAATTGCAATAAGTAACTTAAATCAAATCAAATACAAATTTAGAAACAAAAAGGACCATGCTCTTTTACTATTCACAATACCATTTACAATTATATACACTACATACTATGGCCATAGTAAGAAACTAACCTGTCATAATGAATGGCTTTAGGCTTAGAGTTCGATGACTTACGGAGCCATACTATGATGCCGTTCAGCTTGTTTTGGAGTGTATGAACAATTCCAAGATGACTATAGTTTCAGACACAGTCTTTTTTTGACAAGTCAGATTCCACAAACACACCTTGTCTTCTTCATTGAATCGATGTCCAATAGTTCTCATGTTATATCCGGTCTTCATCTTCTTCATTGCGAATATGACTTGCTCTTATGCAAAGTTGTGCATCACTTTAAACTGGGCCTGGAGACCTTGGATATATTTCTCAGGCGATGAAGGTGCATCCGGAGGGTGACCAAATAAGAGATCACACAAAAGACAAGGGTCATGACCAATGAGCATCTGGGATAGAGAAAAGTCAGTAGTCTGGTGTTTTTCTTCCACCCTAGTATGATCTTGGCAGCTTTCTGAGCAGGGTCTTTCAGACAAGACATTTTGAATATCTGTTCGCTTAATTTTTGTTTATCATCAGAAGAGATCCTCATCTGATCTCTTCTGATGATGGATATTTATGTCATCTGATGCTGAAAGCAGTTTGTTGTTTTTGATGTCCAAGGAAAAATTGTATTTCCTTCAAAAGTCCAAACTGAGTATGCAAGGATCTGTAATATTAGCCACATATGCTGTGTGATAAGACTTCCGAACATGATGTTCCCATTTAACTTCCCCATCTATGTCGATTTTATCACCAGATGCAGTCTGGAGGGTAACCCAGGATAGCATCTAAATGAGTTTATCTTTAAATTGTTGAGCTAAATCTTTCTGAATGATGATAACCTCAGCTCCTGTGTCAATGATCATATTGTAAGGAATTCCATCGATATGCCCATTGATGGATAGTCCATTACTGTTGCCACTCGCTGCAGAAATCTTGAGCACATTAAATATGGTTTTTCACTATCGTTCAAACTCTGCTCTGCGATATGGTCACAAAACAAGCAATATACTTCCTACCCAACACAGACACCACAAGCCTTCATGAACTTACCGCAATCATGCAACCAATTATGTCATAATAGAGTTTCCATAAAATTCAACTACTTAGGATACCACAAATCAAACAACTTGGCAATAATACAAGGGGTATCCTTCTCTATACTCTAACCCAAAGAATAATAGATTGAGAGATAAACTGTCAGTTAAAACTAAATCCTTTGGTTGATCTTTACAATACGGTAACTGGTAGTTTGGCGACATTTTGGAGGTGATAAAGGTTACTACCTGGGACTTTGGTAATAATGTGAGCAGTACTTAGTTCCGATTACGCATTATTTTGTGTGAGGGAAATGAGAGATCATGGGATATGTCATGTGATATTAATGGACGAATTACGGTTCTTGAATCGGAAAAGGGGGGAAATCTGGAACAAATCTAGAAATTTTGTATTTGGTTTATTCTGTGTTGTGTGAAACAGTGTTCGTGAATTTTTGGATCCCATGGCCGTAACTCAAGAAAAGTTTATCGGACACGTAATCAAGATTCTGAAGAAGATTAGGTAAGTTAGTATTTTTAATTATTTGAGGATATTATTTTTATGCATTGTTCTAAATGTAAGGTGGAAGGAATTTTGTATTATTGGGAAAATTTGTTATTAGCAATGATTTAGTTTAAAGTAATTAGGATTGTAAGGTAATTTTATTAATTTAATGTATGTGCTCATTTATATTTAAGTAGTGTTTTTGAATTTAATTATATTTTAATGAAATGATAGTTATTTTGTGAATTTTATGTTTGTAGGAATTTGGTATACATTTAAGTTGAAATAAACGTGCATGGAAATAATTTAAATATTTGATATTAAGTATTTGTAATGCTTGCGGTATGAATTCGTTGGTGACGTGTATAATGTAATAGATGATTTAGAGGTAAAAGGTTTTGGATATTTTATTTATTTTATATGTGGAAATGTTCATATTTGTAAAGGGTAAATACTTTTTCGCGATCAGGTAATTTCATATATGTTCTTTTTACCGGGTTTAAAGATTGAGAAAATTGTCATGTATTTTCGTGAAACTTTTTTAATTTATGAGAAAAAAGCAGTGTACATGGATATAGTGAAGAGTGTGCGCAATGCCATTTTTGTGCAATTCTGGGATGTTTTTTTAAGTAAAAATAAGTCGCCGTGTACATGGTTTATGTGTATGTGTTATTTTGAAAAACGCGTAAGGAGTATGGTATTGTGCACTTTTTCCCAATTTTGCAGTGAATATTGTCATGATTAAGCAGTTTTGTTTGATAAAATTTCTAGCATAAGTGTAATTCGGCTAGTAGATTGTTGGAAGAAGTGTTCAGTAGATAAAAAGAAAAGAAAAACATGTCTTTACTTCGTGAAGACAAAATGGCGGCGGGGAAAAAAAATAGAGGGTTGCTGTAGGAGAGTTGGTCGCCAAATTTTCGCCAAAAAAACGCTAAGTTACCATAATGTAAAGATCAACCAATCCTTTTTTTCTATCTTCACAGTAACCAATACATTCCTTTGGTTTAACAGTTTTTTTTCAGGCATTTTATTTTTATAACTATTTTATTGTATTCTTTTGTACATACACACATTCTTAAACACATACATATTTAATGCCAAATTAAAAATAAAATAATATAAATAATATTTGCATTAAAAAAATCAGATCTTTTTATTTTTTTAAATTTTAACTCAGCAGTAAAATGAAATACTACAGTTATGAATTAACTGTGAATTACTTTGAAACTCCATTATAAAATAAGAAGGACAGATATTCTGGATACAACTCTGATATACGCCCTAATTTCACCAAATGCGGCGATATGTGTTCTGCGCTGGTTTTTGGTGCGATTGCGCGTTGTATGGCAACCCTGTTGACGTTGAAAAATCTTTCGCTGGAGTTCATTGGTTCCCGTCATGCTTTGTGTCTGAGAAGCTAGGGGGAAAAGATTCAATGGTGAAAATTGTTGAATTGAAGTTCGGCATAAGGAAATATCGTCGTGGCCATCCTGTTGAGGGGCAATGGGTATTTGGAGGTGTGGAAAGAAGGTATGGGAGATTATTTTTAGTGGCTGTGCATGATAGAAGTAGGGATTTGTGATTATTTGTTATTTTATTTATTTGTGAACCATAGTATGAATTTTCTGGATAGTGTGTCTGGCTGTCATATAAATACGATAGTGATTACATGGCGATATGTTAAAGGCGGTATGAAATTGGTATTTCTGTTGCTTGAAAAAGCATTAATGGTAAGTGTATTTTATTTTATTCTTGTTCTTATTTTGTAGAATGTTATGTTCATTGTTTTTTAGTATGAATTTCTGTCGTTATTGTTGTTTTTTTGAATTGTTTGAAATTTATTTTAGTTATTTTGTTGATTAGTGCATACCGTCTAAATTGTGCAATTCGTAGATGTTTTTTAAAGTTGAAACAGAACGCTGTGTACATGGTATTCTTTGAAATTTATTGTTGTTATGTTAATTTATTAAAGCGAGGTGTGCGTAGTTCGTAAATTCGTTCGTTGCCTAGATGGTGCCATTTGTAGATGTTTTTTTTAAGTTAAAACATATCGCTGTGTACATGGGCTCTCGTCAAATAATTTTGGTTAGAAACTTCACGGTTTTGCTATCTAAATTCTTTGTTTTGGATTTTTAGCTTAAATTGTGTGCTTAAAGCGTGGTTTTTGCATTCGCGAAAACCGTGTTTTTGGAGACATTTTAGGCTTAAAGTTCGAAATGTACACAAAAAAGTTAGATAGCAACATGGCAGCATGGAGTTTCTCGCCAAAAATACTTGGCGAAAATTTAGCGCCTTGAGGGCGCATATCAGAGTAGTTCCATATTCTGCTAGGTGTTAAAAATAGAAGAGCACACTTAAAAACAAAAAAATAGCTTAAATTGTGTGTTCAAAGCGTGGTTTTTGCATTCGCGAAAACCGTGTTTTTGGAGACATTTTAGGCTTAAAGTTCGAAATGTAGACAAAAAAGTTAGATAGCAACATGGCAGCATGGAGTTTCTCGCCAAAAATACTTGGCGAAAATTTAGCGCCTTGAGGGTGCATATCAGAGTAGTTCCATATTCTGCTAGGTATTAAAAATAGAAGAGCACACTTAAAAACAAAAAAACAAAAATCTGAATTTCAATTCAGAATGTTTCTAAAATTATTATTACATATTTTGTGAATTACAAGATTCTTATTTGTGATTACACGTTTTTAAATACTATTTTAAAGATAAATTAATAAAAAATGTGGATATAAATCCAATTAAAATAAAAATTAATCCACCCAATTTTTTTTTTTTTTTTTTAATTTGTGAAAAATTTGTGATAATGTATCCGTATAGATTTTTGAACATTCAAGATGTTAGAATATATAAAAATGTACACCAACTAAATAAATGGCGGAGCTCAACTCTTTAGTATTAATTTCAATAAAAGAGATTCAAAGTACATTTAAAATAGGCACCGATTTTAAGTGCACAATTGATAAGCATTGCTTTCACCTGAAGTGCTTCTGCTCATCATGAGAAAAGAGAGAATACTTTTGATACTTCTTTCACACAAACAAATGCACGAAAAATATAAAAATTAGAAGGAAAATGCAAGCCTTTTAACATTAATTATTTTACAGTAACACACATTCCTTAAAATGTGAGCAAATACAGTAAACTTACAGAAGTCACGAAAATACTTCCTATGATTTACTTACAGCTGCAACAAACGTTAACAATTCAGATCTTCCAGCTGATTTTTATGCAAGCGTCATTTGTTTACAAATGCACGGCTGAATTAACAGCTCAAACACGACCAGACATTCCTCTTATTTATTTGAGAGCCATCATCACAACAAAGCCGATGATGCCAAATTTCACTAACAATCATAAAACTATAAGCAAATAAAATAAATAAAGAAAAAAATTCATCATACCATTTACGAAATTAAAATATTACTACATACGATTATTCGCAACTGTTAAAAATATGAGAAATAATATTTATTTGATAGCATGTAATGCATCGAATAATAATCTGGTAGGTTAATGATAGACCATCAAAACGAAAAATGCTGAAAATGTCTGGGAGATAACTTTCTTTTTAAAGCAATTCAGATGGGAATGTATCAGAATATAATATATGCTTTTACACTAACTGCCCGAAATGAAATATCTTTTCCGGAAAGTACGAAGTCAGAGATATTCTGCGAATATAGTCTACGGGCTAGCCAATTAGTTCCTTTTGAAAGTTCTCAAAGACATCAGTACTTTACCATTATTAAACAAAAATTAAGCGAACAGATATTCAAACTGTGTCATTCATTTTAATCAGATATTGAAGTATTGAGAAGAGTCGGTGTTGGTCCTCAAATACTTTTTTTATTAAATAAAATAATAAAATCTTAAATTATTTAGAAAATATAGTCATGAAGAAGGGTGAAATGTGTGAAATCTAATTACTAAAACTGGAAGATGTGGGAAAATGTATAATGAACTTCATTGAATACATTTTAGAATATCAGAAATGTTATCTAAATAAGAAAAATTTAAAAGCTGAATATGTAAGAATGAAATTTCATTCTGTTTGGAAAATAAAATTTAATCTTACATCAATGAGTTTAAAAACAGATTAGTTAGGTAAATTTACGTTTCTAACAAACACAACTCTCAGTTTAGACTGAAGACTTAAGTTTTTCATTGAGTGAAGAAAAATAAACTCTAGTTAAGAAATTACATTAATTTGCGTGAAAAATTTCTCTTATTTTTATCGTTTCTCCCTGTTTTATTTTTATTTTTTATTTACTGAGGGGAGATAGGTAAAGAAGTTTAAAGTAAAATAATAGCACGTTCTGATTGGTGTATTTTTACCGTCGGAAAAAGATGTTATCAAAGTAAACGTTTTAAATTGTCGGAGGTCAGGTGAAATCACATGATGAAAACAAACGAATATACCGTGCGGTGTTACCACACTTATTGCGATAGTGTGGAATAATATTTCTTAATGAATGTAGATCATTTCCTTACTTGATTGAAGAATATACCAGATCATTATACAGTATGTTAAATTATGTTTTTACGTGACTATTGATTTTCTAACCTCATTTTATTGATATATATTTGCTAGTTTCAGCGTTTATTGGACATTTAATTTTATTTCCTTCAGCTGATCATTTGCTGTTTAACAGTATGATATATATTTAAGGATTAAGTTTTAAAAGCCGTAATTTCTAGTGTCAGGCGGACGTTAAATTTTAAGAATAAAAATTTGCGTAATTTCTGTATTGCATATTACTTCTAAAAATTTCCTTCACTGAAAAAATGTATAAACAAAATAACATCTGATAGAGAAGACTATAATGCAGTTCTCAACATTAGACATATCAAATCAGATTTAACGCTAAGTATAGTAGGTCTTAAGAGTAGTAACGTGAGAAATTAGAAACTTTGCTATTTCCGGGAATTCGTACCATATTCTCACGTAAAAACCGCATTTTATTGCTTGAGATTTTCTTCAGATTTAAAGCTCTTTCTCTGAAATTAATGCCCATTTAAGTTTAAAATATGTTCAGTTTGAGAACTCGTTTATCTTTATTATCTCTGTTTAATGTGAGCTGTTGATAAATAAATAGTTTCTATTTCTCCTTTAACCCTTTGACTATGAATTAAAAAAAAATTAACTCATTTTCTATCTAAGTGAACGAAATATGTCATAAATAAGGTAACTTTATATCTAAATTTAGCATCTGGGATTTTTTTGACAAACAGGTTTCAAGCCAAATGTTGGGACACGTATGTACCAGCTGTAGCTAATGCTGGGATACACATGTTCCACATGTAGCAATCAACTTACTATAAGCACACCTATAAGTCTGGAAAACTATATTATATAAAATAGATTTACATCGTATGGTACAGGGTGTCATTCTTTGCATAACCCAACGTTACGCATTGGGCAACTCATATTTCTTCTTTTCTCTATGTTCATTTGTGTACAAACGAGCACAGCGACATATTGATTTTCCAGCTATTGGAAGATGATTCCCAACATTCAGGAGATTCTAAGTACTTTTTAATTCGGCTGTAATTTTTAAACTTTTAGTGAGACTGTCCCATTAGTAGTCAAAGGGTTAATGCTTAAAAGAAAATCTAAATTTTCTGTTATGAAAAATAATAAACCACTATGGTTTATAATTATATATACAATATTATAAATTGAAAATTGCATGTTATATTTTAATTTAGATGTTTTTATATGTGACAAAATATAGTTTATATTTTTCAGATATGATGATGCCTGGCTCTGGGGAAGATACATTAAGAACCACTGGAGGCCAAATTGATAGTAAATATCTTTTGTTTGCTTCCTAAATGAAAACAAATTTCGGTTAATCTTTGGATTATGGTAACTTAGCAATGTTTTGGCGAAAATTTGGCGACCAACCCTGCTACAGCAACCTGCTAGCTTTGTTTTGGACGTCATTTTGTTTTCATTTGTTTAAAAAGTAAAGGCATTTTTTTTTTTTACTCAACATTTTTTTCCAACAATCTGCTAGCCGAATTACGCTTATGCTAGAACTGTTATGGAACAACAGTGCTTATTCATGCGAAATTGGGAGAAAGTGCAGAATCGCCCACTGCTTGCCGCGTTTTTAAGAATTGCACATACACGTTATCATCCATGTACACGTCGACCGATTTTCACTTAAAAAAACATCACAGAATTGCACAAAAATGGCATTGCGCACAGTCTTGACTTTATCCATGTACACTGCTAAAGTCCTAGCTAGCAACCTTTATCGCCTTACCAAAATTTTGCCAAACTACCTGTTACCATATTCCAAAGATTAGCCCAAATTACATTTATCATAAAAAATAAATTTCAAACTACATGTGTCTCTCATATGTATCTCTCAGTGAAAAGCCTAATTATAATATATAAAAGCAAGCATAACTCCAATTTTTCTAGACACAAGCATAGAACCTGCCAAAAAAAAAAAAAAAAAAAACTGCTCCGAATTTTTTTTCTTAGAAGTGAAATTTTAATCTTTAAAAATAACTTGGGTGTTCTTAAACTGTTCAGTTAAAAGATCTAACTCCAAATTGTCTCTCATATTGTTTAATTATATCAGATATTGCCTCCAAACACACTTATGGTGATTTCCCCTTCAAAATCACAATTATATCAAGTTAAAATTGATATTTTCTGATCATTTGTATCACCAGGCTCCACTCATTGGCAACTGTGAATGTTAAAAATGTTTGATTACCTTTATAGCTCATAGGTACTATTCTGTCCATAAATAATAATGAAAAGAGTAACGACTGCCTCAGCAGCAGTTTTGTAGATTTTATATACAGTCAAAAGTCGTTAATTCAGTCACCCATAATCCGGAATGATCTATAATCCGGACCTCAAAGCTTCAAACTTTCTGCGCATGACGCATGCGCAGAAAAGGCCATGCGTAAGGCCTTTACGGCTGAGAATATGCTTGTGCGCGTGCACACGAGTAAAACGGACGGTATAAGTTAAGCTAAAATTATTTAATTATATATTTCAGTTAATGTTACAGATTGCGTTGTTCCTTAATCTTCGAATTGGATCCGGCTTATTATTTTTTGCAGACTGTTAGAGCAATTTCATAAAAGTAAGCTTGAACTTTCGATTATGTCAAATAGAATTTCTGATATGTATTTATTAATGTGTAAATGATATACAAAGCGAAAGTATGTTTCGAAGTTCATTAAAAAAAAAGTGGAATTGCTACAAAAAATGGATAAAGGCATATCTTTTGTTTATATAAACTTTAACATTTCTTTATCTAAACTTTGTTTATCTTTAACACTGCGGCGCCGCGCAATGAATTGGAAGTTGATCTGTCGGCACTATCCTTATCTTCAGGGCAGATGTTTTTATTTTATTTGGCTAGTAATTCCTTATTAAATGTAGTATTTCATCTCGATGTACTCCATCTTTGATATGATTTAAATCAAATTCCTCGTCATTATAATTCGCTTCCCATAGCGAAGAAAGTAACAGAGGTTGTTGAAAACGAAAAAATTTCAATTGACAAATTAGTCGGTATTCTCGACACAGCAATTATAGGACTTGAACAGCGGAACTTTTGTAACTGAACAGAAATTATGTCTGTTTAAAAGATTAAAGAGAATGTATTATCACATAAAAATGAAGCAACTTAAACAACTTACATTGAAAGAAATGTTAATAAAGTAAACAATAAATATTAAGCTTTTTTTTTTTTTTTTTTTAAATTTTGATACCCTTTAGATCATAATTGTTCTTTATTTCATAAATTACAGTTTCATATTTTTAATTTTATAATTTCTGCATGCCATCTTACCAGATTTAAACTGATGATCTATAATCCGGAAAAATCGATAATCCGGAATCGCCGAAGTCCCGATGAGTCCGGATTAACGACTTTTGACTGTATATAGTCGTTGAGGGACATCTCGATACGTGGGAGATCTCGACACTTTTAAGGAAGTCCCGCGTCTAAATCCACATGTATTCAAATGTGTGAATGGTACATGCATGTGGGGATTGGCTATTGCCATGTGTGTACTAAGGATGTCCAAAACATGGCAGTATTACTTAATGTTGAAACCAGGATTCAGATAATCAGAAAGTACCCTAAAAGCTAGCCTAAATTGTTAGTGTTTTTATTTATGGTGAAATTCTGAAGCCATGATTTACATTGTAGGATTGGTATGATTTGGTTTGGTTTATTCGATTACGGCAAAGCACTCAAGGGCTATCTGCCTTATAGGAGGGATGCCTTTGTGGAGGATATTTTAAGGAAAACTGGCTCATATACACGTTACACATGGGGAAAACCATGAAAACACCCATGCAGCCGGCCCATTCGCAGGATTCGAACCTTGGACCAAACTACCAGTGTTCAGCGACGATACCGTTCAACCTCTGGTGGGCATTATACATTGTAGAAAATATAAATATTGCACAAAATTATAGGAGCTAAAAATCTTATAAATTTCTTAAATAAATGTTGATTTTATATATTAATAAAGCAGTCTTGTTATTTTATCTGCTTAGCTTCTCATTTTTTTAAGTATTAAAAAAAGTAACAATATTATATAAAAAACATAATTAACACATATTAAAAGGATATGGATAAATTTTTCTACAAACTTTGAATTTACAGTTATTAAATAAAATTTTTTTGATGTTCAAGTTAAAAGTATTTGTAATAAATTATTTAAAATATATGCAAAGATTGAATTGTAAATTAAGCAAAACTTAACAGAAGGTTTCTGCAAAAGGGAAAGATGTCTGTATAAAAAAAATTCTGTGAAAAGCAGGTTTATATTTATATTAAACAACACACCATCTTATAGTCAACTAATTCAGGTGCTGAAAACATAACTTGGTATGAAATAGTTTCATTTTGCAATTCAATCATTTGGATTGTCGGTACAACTCTAATATACGCCCTAATTTCACCAAATGTGGCGATATGTGTTCTGCGCTGGTTTTTGGTGAGATTGCGTGTTCTATGGTAACCCTGTTCACGTTGAAAAATCTTTCGCTGGAGCTCGTTGGTTCGCCTCTGTGTCTGAGAAGATGGGAGGGAAAGATAAAATGGTAGTTGTTGAATTGAAGTTCGGCAAAAGGAAATATCATTGTGGCTATCCTGTTGAGGGGTAGTGGGTATTTGGAAGTGTGGAAAGAGGGTCTGGGAGATTATTTTTAATGGCAGTGCATGATAGAGGTAGGGATTTGTAATTTTATTTATTTGGGAATCATAGTATAAATTTTCTGGATAGTGTGTCTGGCTGTCATGTAAATACGATAGTGATTACGTGGCAGCATGTTAAAGGCGGTATGAAATTTATATTTCTGCTATTCGAAAACGCATTAATTCATGGTAAGTGCATTTTATTTTATCCTTGTTCTTATTTTGTAGAATGTTATGTTCATTGGTTCTTTTAGTATGAATTTCTGTCGTTATGTTGTTTTTTTTAAATTGTTTGAAATTTATTTTAGTTTATTTTGTTGTTTAGTGTCTAGACTGTGTAATTCGTAGATGTTTTTTTAAAGTTGAAACAGAACGCTGTGTACATGGTATTATTTGAAATTTATTGTTGTTATGTTATTTTATTAAAGCGAGGAGTGCGTAGATCGTAGATTCCTTCCTTGCCTAAATTGTGCAATTTGTAGAATTTTTTTAAAGTTTAAACAGGATGCTGTGTACATGGTATTATTTGAAATTTATTGTTGTTATGTTTATTTATTAAAGCGAGGTGTGCATAATTTGTAGATTCGTTCGTTGCCTACATTATGCCATTTGTAGATGTTTTTTTAAGTTAAAACATGTCGCTGTGTACATGGATTCTTGTCAAATATTTTTGGTTAGAAACTTTACGTTTTTGCTATCTAAATTTTTTGTTTTTGTTTCGGATTTTTAGCTAAATTGTGTGTTCAAAACGTAGTTTTTGGAGACATTTTAGGCTAAAAGTTCAAAATGTAGACAAAAAATTTAGATAGTAATATGGCAGCGTGAATTTGGCGAGAAATTTGGCGACTTGAGGGCGCATATCAGAGTAGTTCCATATTGTCTAAAAATCATGGACAATTTCCAGGAAGCTGATGGTGCAGAAGTACCAGAAATTCCATATTAAAACATCCACCTCAGTCAGTTGCGCAAACTGCAACATTAGTCACTGAGAGTTTACATTAGTGAACTTGTCAGATTTTTAACATCTACTGTATTTGATTTTGATACAGTTTTGGTATGAAGATAATGATTGAACATACCCCCCCCCTCCCGTAAAGTGTTTACAGTTTTTAACTTACAATCAGTTGGACAAAAAGCTATCTTTTTTTTTTTTTTTTTGAAATATTTGTAACATGCAACATTTATCATTTTCATACTCATTTTAGACCATGTGATATTATTTATTCAATATCCCCACCCCTAAAATGCTGATCATTTTAAACTTTCCATCAAACAGAAAATGAGCCGTAATTTCTTTATGCTATTATTCATTCTTTGTCTTTCGTTACTTCCCCCCCCCTTTAAAATGTTAACCATATTTAACTTAAGGATCAACTGAAAAAGGAACAATGTTTTCTTTTCCTTCCTAAGAGCAGATACTTTTCATGTTGATTGAGAGTTCAAAATCAGCCAACAAAGGAAATTATTGATTGAGACATAATCTATTTGGAGATACAGCGTAAAAAATTACAAGAAGGGGAGAAGGCTCTTCATGCTGATAACTGGTTTCATTGTTCTGAGATTCCTTTTCTTGCCCTCTTGTACTTCATATATGGTGGAATTAAAGAGTTAGCTTCCCCCAATG